ATTCATTCTTTTTTCTCTTTCGCGCAGGTCATGGTTTGAAAGACGATGTCCTGTAGCTTACTGATTTAAATAAATAAAAATGTATACAAAGATGTGATGATGTCCGACCAAAAATGTGATGGTACTTTGGGTTTAAATTTAATTGGTCGTAAAATGAGATCTAATATAATGTTGTTTGTTAGTATCGTGAATTTTTACGTGAATATATACATAGATCCGCCTACGTTGCTTATGTACTGTAATGGTCCAGTGGCGGAATATTTGCCAAGCGTGTCGGAGGTTGACGGTTCTAATCCGCACTCGTATAGTATTTTTTTCCCTCATCAAAACCTAATGTTTATCAGTGGTTGTATATCAAGAATCTTGATATACTTTATCACTGATAAACATTATCGGTTTTGATGAGGGGGAAAAAAAACTATACGAGTGCGGATGGATTAGAACCCAGAGAAGCAGGGACACGTTTGTGTGCATTTTGAATTGTGATTTCTCTGGAACGAATAGAATCTCTGCAACGGATTGAAGCGCGCGTCCGAGTGAAGACAACACATTTCAGCGCTAGATCGCCTCTTATTTAACAAATGAATGAAACGAATGCTGCTAGTTAACTGGAGATGTTTTATTTGTATTGGTACCCGTGACGCGAGATGTTTCAAAAGTGGTGGGGACAATATCGACCCTGGCAAAAAGTGGTGGGGACATGTCCCACCCGTCCCCCCCGTAAATGACGCCTATGTCTGTACTTCAAAATACAGTATGTAAAATTCTTTATATACACCAAAACAAGGGACTTGATTTATATGTTATCATATCATTAGTTTTAAATTGCAATTGTGTGTAACAGTCTGTTTGTAAAGAGGAGGAGGGATATTTATCCTCTCAATTACAGGGGATCAACTCTGACGGAGCTGGGTAAAAATACTCTGACATGCTGCTTTGGCTCAGCAGGTACTGAGAACCAAGTTTCATGCAGTAAACAGGTCACATAGAAGATTCATGTATTTGACTCATTACACTACATGTTTTTGACTGAGCAATGCTAACTCATTGCTTCTGGTGGTTTAGCTTATCAGGCTATTTTAGTGATAGCCTGCTGTTGGCTTGATTAGTATTAGAGTAGGAGAGGGAGATTTTATGAAGTGGGATCAGCAGGCATAGTGTGGGAGTATGTGTGTGTGTGCAAGATAGAGATTGCAGGGGAAGTGCGAACATTCTCCTCAGATTGATGGATTTTGCAAGGTTGTTCTTACAAACAACTCCACTCTTTTTTGAAAAACCTATAAGAAAGAAATAATTTGACAGTTAGACGTCAAAAGCCAAACAATATTGCCATGTTAACCATTAAAATATTTTTGACCAAAAAACAAACATGCATATGAATTATAATTCATTACCTCTTTGCATTGGCGTTATCCTGTTCTGCACAAATCTTACATTTTGAAAAAGTAATTGTGTTTAGTTTCTGCTTCACCATGGAGGATTTGATGCAGACACGCTATGGTTGAGGCCTGAGGAGCATTACCATGAGTTTAAGCCCAGAGACACAACATCACTCAGACTTGTTAGCAAAACAGGCCGTGATGACTCACGCACCCCTGCAGCACAACTGAAAAAAAAATCAGGGCTGTTATTGAAAATTTGGAGAATTATTAAATTAGCTTCCCTGACTTGTTTAACCACAGGGCAGCAATAGCAGAAACAGGGACATTTGCTAACTCTGTTTTTTTTTTTTTTTGGAGGGTTTGTAATGTGAGCATGTTAAATCAACTCAAATACTTGAGTTATATATAGGGCAATGATTTAAATCTGAATTGTTGTTAAATGTGATTCTACATACATCAGACAAACATCTTTGGCATCCCATTCACTTGCCAATGGGATGGAATGTCTCGTTGCTTTTCCTGCTGATTACCGTAATTATCTTGATAAATAGTACACCTCTATTTTCGTCGCGGCTAGCTTGATCTTGTGTAGTTTTGGAGCAAATTGATGTCTGATGAATTGGTCCACAAAGTACCACTGAAAATGATACCTTGACACTAAATTGAAAATGACACCATTATTTGACAAGTTTATGTATAACTTTGAGTTCATTCAAAGTTACGTCATGCATGACGTATCATGACCAATCCTTGTTTTCGTGATCACCGTCACCTTTGCTTGAGTACAGAAAAAGCTTTCAAATTGCAGCCACAAAGTGAGAGCCAACTGCTCCCTCTAGTGTTCATTTATGATCAGCAACAGTTTAATTTGCAAGCACTGTACATTTATTATACTAAAGTTTACTCATCTTCTACATTTGTATTTGATTATAAAAATGTACCAGTAGGATCTTCTCATATATCAGTGGTTCTAAATTAGATGTCATAAACTGAAAATGAACAGCCATTTTTACAGCATTTATTAATCTATGTTAATGTTCATTTATAAATATACTATTTTTGGTCATAATGTAACATACAAATTCATGTAAAAAATGTAATCAGTGTATGTAGAAATTAACGTGTACCCAGATTAATAATAAATGTTGTAAAGGTATTATTCATAATTTATAATAGACATTAAAATATAAGTTTATAAAAATATTATTCTAATCCATTAAATAATTGCAACATGTAACAAAGCTTTTCATGAATCCATAAAAGTTCACCAAATCGAGAATTTGTTACTTTGGACATTATTTGTAATAATGTACTTTGTATTAGGCTACTCACTCTGCTCAACTAATATGCTAAAATATAAAGAGTAAATATCTCTGAAGAGGAGTAAAACAATTGCTAATACAAACGTTTTAGATCCAATGAAAATGGCTGAGGGGACCAAAAAAAAAACATGTTTGTATGCTGTATTTAAAAAGTTGCCCAATGATGACATCATGACTTTGCGTAAACATACACGCCACTTTCAATTCAAGTGGCGTGTTATCTATACGCATTTTGAGCTATCCGCGTGTATATCCACGCCGAAATCTTTTGCGTGTATGTCTACGCCATTAAACGTCCGAGTGATTCCGCGTGTATGTGTACGCCGTTAAATGTCCGAGCGAAACGAAGCAAAATCTATATTCTACATCTGTGGAGCGATATTTCTTTTCCTAGGATGGTAGGAGAAGACTCATAAATGGTATTAACCCCAGTGACGGGTAGGTTTAGGGACGGGGTTGGGGTAGGTCATATATTTATATGTACATAATACAGTAATATAACGTTAAGTCAAAGGCGTTGATAAATACGCTGAAAAGCGATTATGCGTGTTGATAGCACGCCAAAAATGGAAATACGAATTGGCGTGTCATACATACGCCATTTCATGAGATCAGTCTGCCCAATGAATAAACAGTGACAGTGACACTATATGTTTCCAGTTCATTCATGCATGCACTGAATCTTTTCCGAGAAGTAAGACTATAACACAATACAAACACAGCACGCAAGTATAAAAACACTGGATAACGTGGAATATTTATCTGCAATCCATTGAAAACTATAGTCTGAAATGCGTCATATCGTTTGCCAGTGATGAAGATCTTTAAGATCAGCAACTTCATGTGCAATATATGAATTACTTGGGTGATTTTGAGATACAATTCAATAAGTCGTGTCATGTCATTGTCTTTTTCCCCCAAAGTTTTATGAGACTAGCCATATTAGTTTCACCGTATGAGAAGTTCAGACTTTTATGCTGTTTCTGGTCAAAATTCAGTCAACTAACCTTTTCCAGGAAGCCTGACAACAAATACACATTTTGGGTTTCTCCCTTGATTTAAACCCAGTTACTTATATGTGACCAATTGTCCTATGATGACATATTATAACAATTTGGTATTAAAATTACAACCTTTGGAATCAAAATTAGTTTTCTAGATATTGCAAATCATCACCCAACGCTCAATTTTGGCCACTCCACTTGTCAGACCATAGTTACACCCCTGCAAGTAAATCTTTTTATCTTATTATGCATATTAGAAGATTTTACATTTTAATTATTAAATTATTTAAATACAAAATCATTTATTTTTAATATATATTATTTTTAACAATATTGTGTTCCAAATCTGAAACGCAAAAATATAATTAAAAATGAACAACAACAAGGCACTAGGGAAAATAAAATGGTAACCGGGTCCGTTACTATTGAACTAAGTTGTAGGCCATACAAAGAAAAATACAAAAGAGTGGAAAGTACAGTAGTCAACATTTGAAGTGGATTGAAACCTTTCATCAAAGTTATACATGAATTTTGAACAATACCCGTTCTTGTCTGAAGACAACTTTGATTAACTTTTTTTAAATACTAGGCTACTGTATTTAGGAAAATATAGAATCCACTAGATTGGGTGAGTATATTATGACTTGGTCCTTGATGGTGCCCTAGGACAACTGGCGCCATCTTCGGGAAAGTTGACATCATTAAATGACAAAACCAGAGATTTCCAATATATGCCTAGTGACTATCCAAAGACATACTTCAGAAAAGGGGGTTTCCTGTACAAGACCGCCACAGGAATAATTAATAGTATTTTATTAAATTGTAATACATTTACCTTATGTCTAAAATTCAGTTAAGAACGTATGTTAAGTGAATGAACCCTATCTCTTTAAATAATACAATATTTTACTGTCCACATCAAATATGACTGCAGGCGCTTGAGAGAAATAAGAGAATGGCGTTTTGGCCAATCACGGCGCAGAATGTGATGACTGACAAGCTGCTCATCCAATAAAAATCAGCAGTGGGCAGGGTTTGCGTGAAGTTCGGGATAGTGAACTACACTCAGTTTTCCTTACTCGACTTCAAGACAGGATAATGATAGGCACCGAAACCGTAGATTAATTCACTCGCGTGAAGTGCAAACAAAAGCAGCGGGTAAAGTGTCACGTTTTTATAAAAAATGTAACAAACGCTACTTCATCGTCCGAGGAAGGAATATACGGATATATTGACGTTCATTCGACCAGTCAAACTGTTAAAATCGGGGAGTTTTCCCACAAAATGTTTAACGTTATTGCCCGAAGACGGTTCCTTTGCGCGTGCACAGCAATGCCGATAATTTCATCTGGACGAATCGTTCTAACGGATACTGTAAGATCTGAAAGAAATGTGGTTGTTTTATAATGTGTCCTGGAGACTATTGAATAACTGGCTGACGTGGGGATCACGTAGGGGGGCTTGCCGAAAAAGGAGAGACACGGGCGGGCAGAGGGGCTGCGCCGCCGCGCGTCTGGGATTACAGTAAACACAATTTGTTTCTTTAACAACTTGATATGGCTTTGACGAGATAATGCAATCTCTGGCATATAAAACACGAAGGAAACCATGTAGCATGTCTTGTTGTGGGGGTTCTGAGACGCTCAGACTGACCACTGCCTATAACTTCATGGATGTTTACGTCAGTTAATGATTTGGAAGTTTGTAAAGTTCGTAAAGGCCATCGACCACTGCTGTATGAACTTTGTTTTTAATATCTGATGCATTTTATAAGTGCTGTCTAAGATGGTTGAGAACAGATGCTTTGTTCAGAGAGAGGAGGTTTACCGCTGGTTCTCCGTGTTGAGTTCGGCGCAGAGGGCTGAGTTCTTCTGCGGCCTTTTGGACCTATGCGTTCCCATTGAGCTGCGCTTCCTCGGTTCGTGTTTGGAAGACCTAGCCCGAAAAGACTACCACTCTCTGAGGGATGCAGAAATCAAAGCCAACAACCCGGCTGACCTCGCCAACCTGGCCAACATCACGGATGTGGTCGTAAGGAGCAAACTGCTCATCTCACTCGCGCTCCTCAGCTCGGACAACCGCGTAGCGGCCGGAGTTTTGTTTCGCACCCTCACTCACATCGACACCATCATTAATAACTACGGACTTCAGCTTAACGATGGCCAGACGGGAGAGCAATTTTTGCTCCTCTTCACCATGGCTTCGAACCATCCCGCCTTTAGTTTTCATCAAAAGCAGGTGCTGAGGCAAGAGTTGACACAAATCCAGAAGATCCTACAGGTGACAGTTGGTGAGGCGTCGTCGACGTCACATGGGGGCGGGGCTTGTGCTGCTGCTCTCCCAAACGTGAGCGTGACCCCGACCTTCTCTTCCTTCATCACCTCATCCACCCCATCCACCTTCAACTCCTGCCAGGCCGGATGTCCGTGCTGCAAGGTGGGAAACATTTAGAGTCTGCATGTAATGGAATTCGCCCTGCATATTCTCTCAAAGGCGTTTTATTGATCTTATTGTGAACCATTCATCCATGCATATGTTTCATTTTAGTAAAAAAAAAAAAAAAAAAGTTTAATCAAAATGTCATAACTGAATCTTCCAGCGAAACCGACAGACTTCTGTCTGGTGATGTATAGAGGACCTCTCCAATCATTTAGTCCGCTTAAACCCTGTTCATCTACCTTCACTTTTGTGTTTAACGTTTAACATTTTTTAAATCCAATCAACAACAACCGATGCATAAAACCAATTCCCTGCCCTACATTTTTCTTTTTTGATACTTTGTTACACTCGGATGTACGTCACGATACGAAGAAAAGATCTGCACTACTTCCGTTTCCTTGCGACTTCCAAACCTGTGTAACTGACTTTCATCCATATAACACAAAAATAGATATTTTGCTGAATGTCAAAGAAAGTGAATGGGTCATGGTTGAATAATTGATTATTGCCAATCTAAATAGATTATTAGTATTTCTAAAAGTAGCATCTTTAAATTTAAGATCCACATTATATAGGCCATTATATAGGCATAATATTGCTTTAGGTGAATAGACTATTTGATATTATGGTCCATACCACATTTTCAAAAATAAAAATATCCACACACTTTCCTTGTATGGAAAACAATGGATGTGCAAAATTAATCTTTTTTGTTTTCAGTAAATCAAAGAAAGTAAATAGCGGATTTTTTTTTTTTTAAACGAACTATCTCTTTAAGGTGTTAAACGAGTTTATGAATGTATGCTAAATAATGTTAGTGTGGTTAATTTAACCTATAACTAATTTCTTATAGGACAGACATTTGTTTCCAAAGCAACATGGGCTGTCCCCTTTGAGGAACCTGGGGTTAAGTGTCTCAGGTCAACGATGCTGATGGTTCATAAAACCCCTTTTGGTGTTTGAACCCGCAACCTTTTTTCTTACTAGCCACAACTTTTAAGCGCTAGGCCATACACCCCAAGATATACAGATCAGACCTGATTTATTCAACAGTATCTATGGGGAACACCAAGAGCAACAATAATGAACTGGGGTCATCTGGCAAAGACAAACAATTCAGCCATGAGATCTCACACGACTCACAACCAATGAGTGTTTACGGTTTAAATCTGTTCCATCAGCTCATGGGGGTTCCAAGTGCAGGAGTGATCTCAATGAATCAGTGCCTTTACGATGACATAAGGCTCACACTTACACTTTCTTAAACCCAGCGTGTAATGTAATATTGCAAATGTATAATTATGTTGTAACTCAAAAATGTTAGCTTGGTGAGTCAACAAACAGGGATTGAAAACTGACAGAGGCAGCAAAACCCTTTCATTATAGAATATGATATTAAACAGCAGTTCCAGAACAAATAGATGTAAAAATTACATTAAATGTGCTAACATGATGCACACACAGTTCTGAAGAATATTGCATAGCAGCTGCTATGGATTATTATTTAAAAAAAAATTTTTTGCTTTTAGCTGGTGTTATTAAAACCACACCAGGACTGTCTGTCTTTATGGCATCTTGTTTTCTTCATGTCGTCTTGTTCTTGATATGTCTAAGCAGAGATTGAGATGCCTCCACAGCACCGTCTGTGTGAGACTGAAAGAAAAAGAACCACACTACTTTTTGTGTATTTTGTAATGAGGTTCGACCCCTCCCCCCAAAAAACTACAAAATATGCTCTTGATCACTTACGGTATAGAATCTGCCCTAGTCCAAATGTTTGATTTGTGGGAAATGCACGTTTACTAACTACACTCCTGGGCAAAAAAAGAAAAGAAAAAAGGACCAGGCCAAAAAATGGCAAAATGTTTAGCCTAGTGGTCTTTTAATTGTCTTAACCATTTTAATCACGAATCAAGAAATTATCAATAATTGCACAAATACAGTAACTTAGCACGGAATAGCTTTTTTCCAGCTTTTTACATTCAATGTTATTGGATTTTAACAGTTCATAGTAGTTAAAAAATGTCTCCCGGTTTAAGTTTAAGCTTAATGTGAGACCAAATATTCATTATAGGATTCAAATCTGGACTCTGACCAGGCCAAAACATGAGCCTGACGGACTTGTTCTCAAGCCACTTCTTGGTTGTCTTTGCAATTTGGGCAGGAACATTGTCTTGTTGAAAAATAACATCTGATTAGTCCTCTTTAGATAACACTTTTTCATTTGTTCTCCTGTACTCCGAAGCATTAAATGACTTTTCACAGTGAAGTCCCACCAACACCAGCAGATAAAAAGGCTCCTCTTACAATGACACTCTTCCTCCATGCTTCACTGTGCTAGAGATGCATTTATTATTATATTTCTCATCATATTTTTCAAGACACCGCTCTGGAGCATCACTATGCAACTCATGTTTCATTGTGATTTATCACTCCACACACAACTTCCCAGATTCTGCCAAAAACTTCATTCTGTCTTTGATTTTTTTCTGAATTAGCAAAGGCTTTTTAAATTTTGCATTTGCTTAAATTTAGCTAATTCTTGACCAATCATTTGTGGTTAAGACTAATTAAACCTTAGTGTTTAGTAGGGCTGGTGTAAACGATTATTAATTAAACGATTAGTCTGTCGATTATTTTATCGATTAGTCGACTAATCTAACGACTAATTGAACGATTCTTTTTTGTAACATGGAAATTGCAGGAGTGCACATTCAATGCACAACAATTTTGATCTGGTTCTTACAGAGTATCTACACTGTAAAATGTTTGGTAGGCTACTCAAATGAGCCCTATCACACTTGGATGTGGTGCTCATTTTAATGTTTTCAGTGCTCATAAAAAACATCCGGACTGATTTTTCGGTTTTGTTGACGGGGGTGGGGTTTACATGCGCTTCATAAGGCACACACGCACATTTGCACACACACGCGCAAGGTCTCTCGCTCTCTCCCTCGCTGCGCGCGCTACACGGTTTGGAGCTCGCGAGCTCTAGATTCCGGGAGATTTGAACTAATTTGCGGTCACCAGGGAGCCGCAATCACTATGCGGGAGACTTGGGATGTCAACTCCATTTGACAAAGAGCGCAAATAACGACACCTTTACGTTTGGGACTAAATTTGAAGTATTCCCATACCTTCGATGATTTAGTGCGAGCTGGGTTTTTTTAGGACTTTTTCTTTTGTTGGGACTTTTGCATGGCTTTGTTGTGAATTCTGTGAAGAGGTTGCTGTTTCGTCCTCGATTCTGCAACGTTTCGGTCTCCCACGTGTGTGTGGCGAGCTGTACCGCCAGGAACGGTGCAAAAAAAAAAAAAAAATACATAAATAAATAAAGAAGCGTCGACAAAAAAAATATGACGTCGACGAATTTTTGACGTCGACGTCATCGACGCGCCGCTACAGGCCTATGCCCGGTTGCATAAAGCACCTTAAGTGTAATTTTCCCTTAAAGTCGCCCTTATGTTTCCCTTAAACCTAAGGGTGTTGCAGAAAAATACCCTTAAGTGTTACTTAACGGTTTTTTAAGTGAAACGTCATAAACACTTAGAATTTCCCTTAAATGCTGTTTTTTCACTTAAGTAATCGTTAAGTGTTGCATAAAACCCCTTAACGGTAATTTCCCTAAGTATAACTTAAGGTTTGGAAATCGTAACCTTAAGAGTAACGCGGACAAAAATAAGACGACATGGCTGAATTTATGAAACCAGCTGAAGATCATAAGGAATAGGAAGAACCCTTTGGACCAATTTAGCTATGAAAAATTGTTGCAAGAATACCGATTTGATTGACGCGCAATATATGACATCGCTATCAAACTAGACGGCTGTCTGTCTGTCATTACACGCGACTCGCATGTAAACTATCACAACGTTAAGTCAGTGTGCGCACGGAGAGTGTGTGGCCGACAAAAAATTCACAGGAGAACGAGCTGATTCTGTGTTTTAAAATGAATCATGACAGAAGAAAACAGGTATGCTATGGAAATATACTCAGCTGTATTTCGAGACACAGAGCCAGAAGTGCATTCACAAAACCTAAACAAATGCCAAAGCATGAGACGGTGAACAACACAAACTGCCGCCACGTTCGGAGCTAACGCGGTGTTGCGTGATAGCGTCACTGGACTGACACGTGATATTCCGACATGTTAGTGTTTTGCGTATCTATGGCAACAACATACTTTTATAACGTGAATCCAGGATCGCTGTCGTGAAACACTTAAATGTTTCCCTTACCTAAGAGAACCGTTTAAGAGATTATATGCAACACCCTTAAGTTGTTCTCTTAGGTAAGGGTAAATCGCCCCTTAAGTATCATACTTAAGGGAAAAACTTAAGGTGCTTTATGCAACCGGGCACTAGTGTTTAGCCATTTTGGGCTTGGCCCAATTATATATTTTTTTTGCCCAGAAATGTTATACACTAACACTATCAGTCAAAAGTTTGGAATAATTCATATTTTATAATGTTTTTGAAATAAGTCACTTAAGGCCTGTACACGCCAAGCCCACGGTCTGCCGTCGGGCAACATCGGGCTTCTTTTGAGCGTTGGTTGGCTTAGTTTCTTCTGTATGTTTCCGCACCGTTGGCTTTAGTCGAACGCCATTGGGTATTTTTTGGGCCGATTCAGCAAGTTAAATCGGCGTCAGGCCATCGCTAAGAGAGAGAACTCTGATTGGCTGTTTAGCTTAGCGAACGAGTCAGTGCACGAGAATAAAAGCGAAAATGTTGAAAGCGAGTAAAGAAGTGATGAAAGCACAGACAGAAGGCTGTTAAAATTTTGCATCATCTTACCTGAGCATTCAAATACACAAATATTTTCTTAATAACATGAGCTGGCTATAATGAAGAAAGTGATCAGAATGACTGATATTCCAAATGGTAAGCAAGAACTGCTTTGTTTTCGGTTTGTATATCTGCAGTCCTATTTTCGGTTTCCCTTTTTGAATGATGAAAATAGACTATTGATACTTGCTGATATAGACAGATATTTCCTTACATGCAGGCGCAGAACACACTTGACAGTCGCCTGTAGCATTTTGGCCGAGACGCAGCCAATGAGACGCGACAACACAGTCGGCTTGGTGTGTCCTGGGCTTTATGCTCACCAGGGCTGTATTTATATGACCAATAATACAGTAAAGTATTACAATTAAAAAGAATTGTTTTCTATTTGAATACATTTTGAAGGGTAATTTACTGTTGGGATGGCAAAACTGAATTTGACTGGATTTTCAGCAGCCATTTCTTCAGTCTCCACTGTCACATAATCCTTCAGAAATCAGTGTCTGTGTTTTGTTTTGTTGTGATTTCGTGATTAAAATAAAAACTTTTTGGTTATGTGATATTGGTTTCTATACTTACAGTACTACAGTGAAGGATCAATGTGCGGTTAAAACGCTAAAAATGCATGTTGACAAAAATGTGATATAACACTTCCTAATGTATGTTGAGTCTTTTATTGTGTGATCCCAGTGTAGTCAGATCTAAATATCTCTGGTGGAGTGTTATCTGTACTGACATGGGCTCATGAGGCACACATGCTGCCGAGACCTGTGCTTCAGCGGGTGTAGTGGGAAAGTACCCTGTGAAGGCAGAGAAGGCGGTTCTATTTAGTGATTTGTTGGTTTTGGCTTTCATGAAGTGAAGCTCAGCACATTTCTCCATGCTTAAATCAGCCCTCTGTGTAACTCTCCTGTGATTCATCAGGAAGCACCGACTGCTCGCTTGTTCAAGAGACCTTTATAGCCTAAACATCAACAAAAACACACTCTCTTTTGTCTCGAGAATCTTTTTGTGATACTTTGTAATCGCCAACATTTATTTGAATTACATGTCTGATAGCACTGTTTAAAGATGCCATGACATTCAAATTTGAGCACTTTCCACATATTGTGTTTTTAAAGCAATAGAGGCACCATAATGTTTGACAGCAATGAAAAAGAGGCTGTGAGGCTGTGTATAGAGGTACAGTGTGTTCAATGGAACGTACTGCAGTTTAACAACATGCCAATTGTTCAGCTGACAAAAAAACACACAAAAAAAAAACACTTTCAGTAGACAAAAACTACATAAGTTTTGAAAGCTGGGAGTTCTTTTGAAATATTAAGCAGCTCAACGGTTGACAACTATGAGAAATGTTTATGGAGCACCAAATCAGTATGAAGGATCATGTGACTCTGAAGAAATGGCTGCAGAAAATTCAGCTTTGCCATCACAGGAATAAATTACAGTTGAAATATATTAAACTAAAAAACAGTTGTTTTAAATTGTAAAAATAATCTACAATATTTCTGTTTTTACTTGTGGTTAACCGATATACATTTTTTGATTGACCGATGTCATTATCTTAGAGAGCTGGGTGCAAACACATTCATAACAATTGCTGAATTGTTTTATATTTAAATAAAAAAATAGCAAACATCGCCAATATTTTGACCTTGGTAAAAAGCATTACAGATTTGTTTCAAAATTTTAGAAAGTCTTCCTGACCCCAAACTTTTTAATGGTAGTTATGTTCACTAAACAATTATATAGCTAGATTTAAACGCATACAATGTTCGTATCCAAATGTTTTTTGGCTTGTCCCATCTCAGAGATCTTGACCTTCTCGATTGTATTCCACAGTTAAAACAATACAACATTGCCAAAATTGTCATAATCTGTTATAAATAAACGTTTATCTTCATATCATTTTGTATTACTTATTAACCAGCTAATTCCTTGCATTCTTAAATGAAACGCCCATGTTTCACGTTCCAGTCAATTCCTGATGGATAAAATCAAGTTCCTTACATTGGCTCTTATATTTTACTCTAAATTACTGTATGTCAGATTGTTTAGTAAAAGGAGTAGTGAAGGCCATATCATGCTGACTTTAAACTGACACAAAAACAATATTTTTGGTTACATCAAACACAGCTAGTCAAATAATCCTTAAAAATAAGGCTAATTCACTTTTTGTCTATCGCCTTGCTCTTCTTTGTCTGTTATGAACAGATTTTCTCAGCTGTATTTTTCCAAGGACTTCTTTCCTTTGTGTTATGATCCACACTTCAGCTGAGTCTTCAACAGAAGGGCATGTTTTTCAAAGAGAGGAAAGGAGATTTGGCAGCGTGGGATGTGGATGTGGCAGCAGTGGACTGTATGGTAGTCCTAATTGGTTTCAGAGTTGGCTTTTACTAGCTGCTGTGCTTAGCATTTGTGGTACCGGCCTCCTTTTGCTTCAACTCAAAGCTGGAAGATGTAACCTCAGAGCAGAAATCAGAATGGGTTGTGGAATTTGTCATCTGATTATCTGATAAAGCAAAGCTAAAAGGGGAAACATTTGCATTTATCCCCCGGTTTCACAGACAAGGCTTAAGCCTAGTCCCAGACTGAAATGCATGTTTGAGCTGTTTTAACTGAAAGTAACTTGCACTGACATTTAATAAAATATATCAGTGCCATTGTTTTGTCTCAAGATGCTCACCAGAAATGTTTTTTTTTTTCTAAGGCACGTTTATAAAAGCTACTTAAATGTCCTAATTGAACTAAGGCCTAATCCTGGCTTAAACTAAGCCCTGTCTGTGAAACAAGGCCTATATGTTTTATTTTTAATGCTTAGATGTGCTGCTCAGAAGAAAATGACATAATGCCACATGTGTATTGAGTTGGCTTGATTACCAGGATGACTAATTATAGAACAGTCATCTACTACCAGGAAGGCCATGACTCACTTTTTAGTCAGTTTTTAGGAAGTTGTTTCATTGAACATGAATATGTTTGCCAACAACACAGTAACAAAACTGTTTAGCGACATACAAGAGTAAAAAAAAAAGTTTACAACTTTATTTCTTATAATTGCTACTTTATATCTCTTAATTCTGAACTTACATGTCACATTGAGACTTGGGCTCAATCCCAATTCACCCCTTGGCCCTACCCCTTGTTTTCGAGTGTACCCCAATTGGCCCTTAAAACAGAGTTACAAGGGGCAAGGGGTTGAAATATTCCCCTACGAAATGGAACAACCCTTCATGAACCCGATACGTCATCCGTCGTCGGCGATGGCTCTGCCGTTACGGAGTTTTTACAGGATTTCTCCATGACAACGACTGACAATCAGCGCAGCTGCTCTTAACTTTGAGGAAACATGATGCTTATAACGTTCCTTCCTCGAAATGTATGTCTTTTCTGTTTCGGAAAGGTAATTTATTATACAATTTCTTAATTTAAATGACTATATCATTATTATAAGAGTAAATAAAGTGCACGGTGGTGTCATCTGGCGCTAAATTTAAATGTTTAACCGTTTGTGAAGCCATCTCGCCGGTGATTCGCGATGCATTCTGCGAACTTTCTCGTAGCCCTCCGTTTGGAGTGTGCCTCTGAAAAATCTCCGTTTTCGAGGGCTATGTAGCCCTACCCCTTAGCCCTACCCCTCGATCTAAACAGGAATCGGGACACCCTACCCCTTGACGTGAACGCGCAAAACGGAGGGGTAGGGGCAAGGGGTGAATTGGGATTGAGCCTTAGTATCTTGCAATTATGACTTTATTGTAATTTCTACTTTTTGGGCCCTATCATACACCCGGCTCAATGCTTTTTTGTTAGTTTCAGCCTGACGCAGTTATCATTTTCACGTCCTGCGCTACGTTGTTTAAATACCAAATGCATTTAAATGCAAGACCCATCCATCCAAGTGTGACAGCACTGATGGGACTGTACGCCCGTGTTCGACCTGACCTATGTTTAATCATTGACTTCTTTTCCAGACTGTACAACGAGAGGTCACAGGAGGTCAGACAGATGAAGGCTTGGGTCCTGAAATGGTGCCGCCAAGTCCGTCGCTCTTGTGCCAGGAAATGCCACTCAAAGTGCACGTCCGAAAACCCAGCAAAGGTGAGTTCCACAACTTTAGTTGCAATACGATTCACAAACGCACTCCACATTGTTGGATCCAAGACATGCTAATACAGAAGCTGTAACAAGAATGCACAGGCTGAAATCTTTTAAAGTTTAAACCAAAGTTTCATTCATGTGAGACAGCTGGTTGAAAATATGTTCTCCCCTCCTCTCAGGCCTTTTCCAGCAGAGGAGGATAAATGAATCAGAGTGACAGTTAGTTTGCAGAAAGAGATTTGTTTTAGGTGGTAATCCAGGATCTGTTATATCTAGCCAGTAGCCAGTTTTTGACCTGAACTGTTCATTAACAATTCGTACCTACGACTTACTAATACGTCAGCACGTTTTACTAATTCGTTCCTCTTTTCCAATAATCCTCTTTTAAGTAAATCATGCAGTGACAGCTCCGTCAACTGTCCCAAGCATCTTTCAAGCTGGCCACGGGCCATCGGGCAGTCCTTATGCTCAGAGCTTCTATCATTGTTTTGTGCCTGTTCGAATTAACTCTGAGTGCCTGTTTAAACACAGAAGGAAATGTGTGCTGTTTCTGTCCTCATCTGTGCCCGCAAGCTATAAACACCCGGGTGATGATTGACGGCATAAATGACTGGTCATATTAGAGCAAGCCGCACTCGCATCGAACAAAGTTTACAAAGAGTGACTGTTTTGTCTACGTGTTTTTGACCATCGCTGTTATAACCTATTGGGAAGCAAGAATGTTCCCAGACAGGAGATTTATATGATGCAGGCAGCGGCTTGTATCAGGTGCACAAACAGAATTAAGTTGATACCCACACACACATATCTACAAAGACTAAATAAGCAGTATCTCAGAAGCAAGGGCTTTGTTGTACTGAATATAGAAGTTATCATTAAATAATATCGAATAAATTGCATTTCCAACAGAGCTGTTATTCATTACTTATATAAATTACTTATTACTTTGTTATATATAACTTATTTTTGCCTCACTAACAAATCTTTGCTGTTGGACGGAAACCTCGCATCTCCATATTGTGTCATTTTTATTTTCTTTCATAAATCATTACTATTGATCACCCTTTACATCTGTCTGTGTTTTGTTTTAACAAACATTTAACCAATGAAAAGTATTAAAAACTCAAACTGTCAGTAAAACCTTATAACTCCACTCCTGCTCAATCTTGAATGAAATGCCGCACACTGTTTGGACCGTCTCTGCTGGTTTGCAATGCAATGGAAAATAAATGACTCTTTGAATGAGTACTGTGTTTTCTTTACTCAAGTATTTGAGGAGCAGAGAAGAGTGTCTTAGTCTAGGATTTGTCACAGAGTCATATCCAATTCTGTCTTAAATAGCCTGTGTGAAGGACGTTTTTTATAACATGAGATTTTGGCCAAATGACAGAAAAAACTGAGTGCCCACATAGCTGCAGTAAACTTTATTACCTGTAAGTTGATGAAAGCGCAATGCACTTACTGCCTCAGATGCAGACCCACCACGTATGTCCGAAATTCTCCAAAAATGTGCTGGTCAAAAACCTTGTAACTCCATTTGAGCTTGATTTCGGTAAAATGTTAATAATAGTGCAAATGTCTGAACATATATAAAGCAAAGTGTTTAATTATTTAAAAATATAAAGTTTTTTTTTTTCCATTTCTTGAGATTTTGGAGATACAAGGTTTCAGCCCGAATGCGGCGAAGTATAGTTTATTTTCTTTCCCCCCCCCATTATTTTCACTCCTTTTACATAGTTTTTCATTTCCAGAGTTTTAACATTGCTTTATGGGGTTTGGAATGCAATGTTTTTCTATTGTTATTAAAACCGAAATGCATGCTACATGAAATCCATTTATTATGAATTCCATATCTGGTTCAAGATTGAGCCTCACTCATAAGGGTCTGCTTATCAGGTTTAATGGGTTCTTTAGCTGTAGTTATGAGATTTTTGATCATTTGCTCTGGTGGACTCTGCACTCTGTGTGAACTTTTGGGTCTTATTGTGGACAGAATGTAAATACACATGGGTATGAGTCCCCAGAGTTTGCATTCTTAACTTGTGGAACATGAAAGAGTTTGGTTCATGTTTAATGGAATATCTTGGCCTGGCACTTTTCAAGACTGGTTTGTGTGTCATTGAAAGACTGTGTAGTTTTCTGTTTTAATCCTGAGGAGAATATTAGAGATACAAGCTACTACATCCTACATAGACTCACATGTCCACACAAGTTTTCCTGGGATGTGTGCTGTCATTTCTTGAATTACGCTCTGTTGTGAGCATAAGTGTGTATTTTTGGTCCTATTTTGTCTCGCTGTTGGCTAATGCAACAGTTGCACCAGCAGAGCCCAGTTGTTCAAAAGTAATCTGATCAGATTTCGGCTAGCGGATTGGATTAGATCTTGGAAATAGGTTGTTCAAAAGAAAATAGGGATTCTGAAATCAGATTAGATCAAGGAATCCATCTTGGTTTTGATCTGGATCAAACCTTCAGTATGCGTTGTTCAAAACTTTTTAGTAGGATTGGGTAACTTCGATTCAAAAAATCAGGATTTAAAATTGGTCAAATAATACAATGTTAGAATCGCGTAGTATACCTATTTATTCATATTTTGAAGTTAATTTTTGTTCAACTGTTAAAGTGATAACGTACAAATTAGACTACCTATTACGTCTTTTAATACAGTATAGTAAAAAAAAAAAGGGTTCCCATAAAATAATCCCCTAAACAGCTGCCAATAACAAACAAAATTAATATATTTATTTAACTTTAACTAACAGTGTTAGTTTTTTACACTGCATATTAATTACAATGACTTAATCATCAGAGACAGTCAAAAGTAGTTTCTAAATATTGCATCCCTTATTGCATGTGTTTTTCTGTTTTTATTTATTATTTTATTTATTATTATTATTTATTTGGGTTGGGTCAGATGAGGATCTACAGATGGAGATTTCCCCTATTTTTTCCATTACCATGTCCCTTTATTGTGCTTTTTTCTTTCTCTTCAAATAAAAACACTTAAAGTGACCCCACATGGACTATTCTACCTGTTGTTCTTTTCACAGCTTGTAGCCTACATTCAGTACGTATACATAGACAACAATATTCCGATATTAAGCCGATTAAGATTAAGACCTCGATGGAAGTCGAAGATTTCGAAGATTTAGGATGCCAGCAATTTTTAAAAATAGGGGGGAAAATTCCTTCTTGCCACGGGCAGTAAAATTGTTAAATGATAGGTAGTGTTGGTGTTTAGTTTACTGAGAGGGTCTCATTGAAGATTCGTTTTTGTTTTTTTTCCCTCTGTATTTATGTATATTTTTGGTCTTGTATGTACGCATGCTGAAACACAAGCAACAAAATTTCCCTAAGGGGATAATAAAGCAATCAATCAATCAATCAATAAATCAATCAAACTGTATGTTGATAGGTGAAATTCTGGAGGGAACGTCGGATGGCGTCAGTGGCATGGTGACGTAATGACGTGTGCCATTAATCACCTGTTTTACATGTTCTATAACATGTAAAACAGGAACATGAAAGGAATATTGAATATTCTAAAAGCAACTCATGTAAACACCTTAATCAGAATATTGTCTTATTCAGAATAAGGTCAATTATTAGATTACTGCTGTCCATGTAAACATAGTCATTGTGATCCCATTTACAGCACCGGTAATTCAGATTTGGTAATGTGAAAAAGTATGTATCTGGATTTGGGTGATCCACTCCAATTTTGCTTTGAAAAACTAGCACAAAAGGAAGACAGATTTCCTGATTCTGGATGGCAAAACAACAGGAATCCACAAACTGCTCTTTTTTCCCCCAGAAAACACTTGTCGTGCATATTCTCAGTGTTTCATTTCGATTTCATCGGCATAATATATTTCTAGATTTTTACATTTGCAAAAGAAAATGTCATTGACGTTTGACATGTAGAACCATGTGTTTGTGTATATATATAAAACTAAGATGCCTGAAGCTAAAAGACATGGTCGGTTGTGCATATAGCTTATTCTTATGACCTGGGATCATATTGCTCCGTTCATTGCATATCTATACCATAACATAATGGACATGTCAGTTCAGGAAGGCTTTTGTGCTCAGCGGGTGTGCTGAAGGCACTGGCCATTGGAATCGAACAGAGCAGAGATAGACTGTTGTTTTGTCTGCTGGTAATTTAATGCTTCTCTGCTGCATTACCTCATGGCTTCACCGCATGCCTTCAGCACGAGCCGTAGCAATCCGTCAACAGCCTCACACACACACACACACATTCATATTTATTGGGTTTAATCGCACATACTCTACTCCCATTGGATATTGACTTTGTTAAAACCTGAGGTTTATATACATGCACACGAGTCGGGTCAAAGACTTTCAAAACAGCTGTTCTTTACAGGATCTCACAATGATAATGACATTTTCGGGGCCCTTTGAAATTCCCAGAAGCTCGGCCGAGTTCGGCTGTTTGTCGAGTTGATGTTGGAAAGGATGTGTATGCATCCATGACTCTAGATCTGCTTGTCTGTTCTTGAATGTTTGTCTGTGTGTGGAGTTATTATGTGTGCATTATAATGCTCGCTGGGTAACTAGAGCTGTAAGAATGGGAGAATGCCTCGGATTACCCGGCCTGGCATCAGGTATGCGGCAACTGCAAGCCCCAGGGCATCCAAAGTATACAGAGCATGGAGAGGAAGGTATGTGTGTGGGAGTGTATTAAAAAAAAGTATAGAAATGTGTTTGTTTGTGTGATACAAAGAGACAAAGAGAGATGTTTTAGGGTTGTGAACGTGATTTCATCAAGTAACAACATTTCAATCAACCAATCAGTTAACAGTGTATGTCAAGTTTTGACTTACAACAAGGGTTAGGGGCTTCTGCACCATTCTTATTCACCTATCATTTCCCTTTGATTTTAGGGATAAGTTATGGGTAGGCTTAGGGTTAGGTTTAGGGGTAGGGATAAGGTTAGGACTACATTTTCGGACAGGAATGTTGTTCCAGGATCAACA